ATCCAGAAGGATGACCCCAGCTAGGACTCCTAGCAATAGTGGAGAGGGTGCCTGAACTAGTCTTTCCCTGTAATCAGATTGGTGAATACCCTAACTGTCATCACAGAGCCTTCATCCAGTAACTGATGGAAGCAGATGCAGAGATCCACATCCAAGCACCAGGTCAAGCTCTGGGAGTCCAGCCAAAGAGAGAGGGAGGAGGGATTGTATGAGCAAGGGGTGTCAAGATCATGATGTGGAAATCTACAGAGACAACTGAACCAAGCTCGTGGGAGCTCATGAACTTTAGACCGGTAGCTGTGGAGCCTGCATGGGACTGAACTAGGCCCTCTGCTTGTGGGAGACAGTTGTGTAGCTTGGTCTGTTTGAGAGGACCCTGGCAGTGGGATTAGGATCTATCTTTGGTGCATGAACTGGGTTTTTGAAGCCCATGCTATATGGAGGGATACCTTGCTCAGCCTTGATACAGGGGGAAAGGGCTTAGTCCTGCTTCAAATGAATGTACCACGCTTTGTTGACTCCCCATGGGAGGCCTTACCCTTTTGGAGGAGTGGATGGGGTCGGCTGTTTGGGGTAGGTGGTAGAGGTTAGGGAGCTGGAGGAGGGATGGAAGAGGGAACTGTGGTTGGTATGCAAAATGAAAAAAATTTAGAAAGAAAGAATATGACCATGGAAGTTTCTGGAATATAAGATGTTAAAAATTAGTGTTTTTTTTTTTTTTATTTAAGCCTTCTTGTTTATTATGGCTAATTTTCAATGGCAAATTAACTGGACCATGGAGTACTTGAATATTTGGTCAAATATTACTTTGGCTATTTCTGTGAGGGTAGAGTCTGGATGTGATTAATATTTAAACTGGTAGATTGAGTAAAGCAGATTACCCTATGTAATACGGGCGGGCTTTATCTGATCAGCTGAATCCCTGAAATAATTAGTTATTCTGAAAGACTAACACTCCCTTGATTAACTCTTACCTGATTTTTCAGTGATCAGAATCAAACATGGGAGCCTATGCCTGCTAGACAAGTGCTATACTAGCAAGTCACATCCTAGCACCACCCCCCCCCCAAGGCTTTTCACTATTCTTAGTGCTATGAAGTCTGCTGGCCTGTAGACTGAAACTGGAACATAAACTGTAGATTTTGGACTTTCCATCCTCCGTAATTGTGTGAGCCACTGTGTTCCTATGTGCATATGTGTGCATACATGGGTGCATGGATTATTGCTTCTACTTCTCTATCTGTTGGAGAAATACAAGCTTCAGGATAAATTTCTGATTGATTCATTTGTCTGAAATCAACTCTCTAAAGTGGTTAAACATAAGATACTCACAAATCTATTTATAGTAGTAAAAAGAATGGCAATAGTCCATGGCTTGATTTGGCAGTAGAAAAACATGGGCACTGTCTATGTTAATCAAATATTGTACAAAGCAACAGTCTGTATTGTCATACATATGATATTTTAAACTGTTTCTGCCAAGTAATAAGCATAAGTTTAGCTGCTCACTCCTAAAATGAGTTCCAGGATATAAACTCTTATCTCAAGATGCACATAAATTTACCTGCAAGCTATGTTTGTCTGAGAGAGGCCCTCTTGCCTGCAGAGTTGGTATTATGGAAAGCTGGCCACAGAATTTCTTTGTTCAAATGACTCAATGATAATGAACTTCAAGCCTCAATAGGGTGTCTGTTAAAGTGAGAACACCAACCCAGAAGAAATTTACACGGTAAATTGAATTGGGATGACGCAGAAAGACTTTGATGGAGCTAGGGACATAGACTACCTAAATTCTGATATTATTTGCCAGTAGAAACAACCTATCCATCCACTTAGAGAAATTAACCCTGCATTGCCTGAGGAAAAATGATAACCCCCACATCACTTAAGGCAGTCATCTTGGGAAGCAATGATTATTCTTCCAAGTACCCACCCATGACCCATCATTATTTTAGACTAATAGTTACATTATCATACCTTCAGACCCCGTAATATAAATTATGTGTGACCCATGAAGAGGTGTGCTAAACTTAAAAGAACCACTTGTTTTCTAATTGTTATGAACAAAACTCTGGGAACAGATACAAGGTAAGTACTAAGGGTATGGGACAATGGTGAGAGGAACATAAAGTTAGATTGGGATGAAAATATTGATAGGAATTCACTATGTACAGTGAATGTAATAGTTTGGAGTATTAGAAGTGATGTCAGCAGTATGTTTATTTGGCTGAAACCTGGACCAGAAGATGGCCCACAGGAATGAATACAAATGTCAGAACTTCCTTGGGTAAATGTAGTAGTGATGGAAAGTCTTAGTGAGGGTTCAGTGTTAGGATGTGTTGGTCTCCTAGCACATACCCAGTCATACAACTGGAGCAAATACATGCTAGAAGCCCAGAATTCTTAAAGAGCTTGCCCAGTGCCCTTCTCTGTAGACAAGACCTTATAGTGGGACTGCTGAGAAAGAGATAGATATTGCTTAGTTCATTCCCTGCCCTGGGAGAACATTCTCAGGACAGATGACAAATTTATTTGTTAATGTATTATGTTTTGTGGTATTGAAAAAGAAAACCAATAAGTAACAAGTGTTAAAATGAAAACATTTAAATTGTTTTAGTAAAAGGTTTTTGTTTGTTTGTTTGTTTGTTTTTATAAAGATTGAGCTTTCTGGACATTTCCAGAATGAAGAAGCTTATTCAAGTTATAAAGGCCTGAATAAATTATCTAACACACATAAGGAATGAGACTTAGAGATTGTATCAATGGTATTAAAGTTTTTAAGGTCAAAAGGCAACAATTATAAGGACTGGCTATTATATTTAATCCAAGTCTATTTAAAGTGACTAGTTTAAAAAATATTATATGCTAGTTAAATGTGCTAGATTGGTGTAATTGATCTTCTGGGTGTTCAATAACCATATTTTGTGGCCTATACTAATGTGATCAAGATGGATTAAAAAAGAATATTAAAGGGGATTAATTGGTTAATCAGGTCCCAGGGTACTGTGGGACATTTTCTTTAAAAGTTTTTTTAATCACATAGCATCATCCATTATTTTATTCAGAGAGGCCATGGAGACCCCAACTGGTGAATTCTAACTTTTGTCCCATCTCCAAACAAGAGGGTCAACACAGGGAAAGATTCCCTCCACACTTCCAAGTGAAACAATGATAAAGCAAGGCCTCTGACTGATCCTCACATAGAGGGACTAACTGGAAAGAGAAAGACTAGAGGAGCAAGAGGTTCCTCCCATGCTCAAGTGGCCCCTGAGGATCAGATCATCAGCCGGCCTTGACAACAACCACCACCACAGCAGCGACAGCAAAGTGACTGATTTTTCCACCTCCATGGTCATAAACACCAAACAAGAAAGTATATCCAAGCCTAAAATGATAAGTATGTTTCTTTAACAGTCCTCAGTCCATATGATATGTTATTTGGACAACTATTCCTACCTAATGATTCTCTTTCTTGGTTTAAAAAAAAAATACTGCCCATGCATAGAATATGGCCTTGGCTCAGCTCAATGTGGCTATTTGTGTTCTGCCTCACACCGTCTTGCCAGTTAGAAACATACATTTAGATCTGTCTGTTCCCTGAAACCCTCATAAGCCCTGTTCCACCCGATGTCTGCTCAAAGGACTTTACCAGTGCAGAAAAAGCTTACTTCATAGGCCACCTCATGTATTCATTGACTCGACTCCCCTGTGTCTCCTTCTGTTGCTTCCCTCCAACCTAACCAATACAGCCTTACCATCACCACCTTTGCTGCACAAAACCAGATAGTGCCCTCTTGGTACTACTAACCTTACTGGCCTTCTCCATTTCAGTCTTTCCGAGTCTTCACTGGTTCTCAGTATTGCTGGGGACCTACCTTCCCTGCTCTCATCAAACACTTAACCACCCTCGCTATTCACACCTAACTCTGCTGCTACTGGCAGCTCCTAAAGGCTCCCTCACCTTACTGTTTGCTCCTCAATACTCATGCATTTTGCCCAGATTATAAGCCTCCTCTAACTCATCCCTCCTCTTGCTACTCTGGACTTGGCAGTCTTCAGAATCTGGAATGGAAACAGTGGGCCTGTTTGGTTTTGTTTGTTTGTTTTCTATCAGTTAGCTCCTCTGTCTCTCCAGCTCTCAGAAAACCTTAAAGAAATTTCAGATCAGTTTGATACCCTTTTTCACCAATTTGATTCCTTGGCAGCTGTGGTATTTCAACACTGAAGACCTTAGGTCCTCCTCCAAGATCCATGAATTCATGAGCTTTGGGTATTTGGCTAAGTTTCCAGTCCCAGGCAGGATTTCCCTCTTGTTGAGTGATTTTAAGTCCAAATAGAGAGCTATTAGTTACCATTGAGGTATGCTTCTGTTGCATGCTCTGGATTATAGTGCCATGGTGGTGATGGTTGTGGTACATAGGTATCATAGCTGGGTAGGACTAATGGTTAATTCCCTCATTGGAAACTCACATGGTACCTTCTGGTACCATCAAAGCTAGTTCTCAGGGTATGAACTTGAAGGTAGATCCAACTCAGATCCTCTGAGCTGTGTGCCTGGTCCAAAGTGCATGGTGTCCCCAGAAACAAGAACTTAAATTGTACCTCTGAGAAGCAACTGAAGGTAACACTTTTAGGAATTTGTTGGACAACCTTGACAACTTAAAAGGCAGCTTTTCATGCCTAATGTTGGAGTTTTTGTTAGATAGTCTATGGATCTTGGAGGGGGCAGTCTCATTCTTGGTTACTGCTGTGGTTTGAATGTGTCCCAATGCTCATGTATTGGAAACTGAATCATCAGTGCCATGGAGTTCGGAGGTGTAAGCACATGATCATGGGAATGAGCTAGTTATCACAGGTTCTTGACAAAAGCATGGATTTGACCCTCTCCCCCACCCTTTTTCCATATTCCATCATGGCAGGATGCAATAAGAAGGGTCTTGCCAATGTGGGTCCTTTCACTTTAGTCACAAGCCTTCAGAATGGTAAGAAATATTTTTTATTCTTTATAAACTAACTAGGTGTCTTGTTACAGTGTTGTACGACAGACAAAGACAGTTGTTAAGAAAACTACTATCCTTCCGTTTATGCTCAGTGCTTACTTCTTACTCTCTTTGCTTTTCTGATTTACTCTCATATGTTGAAATCCTGTTCTCATGTATGTCTATTCATGAGTTTTGCCTAAGAACATTAAAGTACATGGTTGTGTGGTAGGTGTCACTAAGAATAATCACATGCTGTAACAGAAATTGTTCTATACAGGGTTTGGCTACATTTTGATGACATAGTATGATAGGACCTACAGAATTGGGCAACAGCTCAGGAACAGGTGTTAAATATATTTTAACATGAGGCTTAAAATGGCTAAAAAAAAATAGTCAGAAAATCTAGTCCCCTCCCCCAACTCCATTGCTCTCAGATCTCTGTGCGGAAAGTAATAGTGCTCCCTGCCATCTTCTTCCGGTAGTCTTCATCAAAATCCTCACTTTGTGCCACAGTAAAGTAGTTCTTCCAGTCTCCAGGCATCCCTGAAACAAAATGAAAGCTCAGAGATTGCTGTAGGTACAGAAGGGGGAGTGATTATACACCCCTAGGACCTGCACCAAGATAAGCAGGTACACAAGTCACCTCTCCAACTCTACAGGTATTAGCAAAGCAAGTCAGGTAGCATGCGATATCAGTGGAAAATATAAGTCAACTATAGGACCAAGAGATTTATTTGGCACCTCAGGATGTCAATCTCACCTACCTTTCCTCATGAAAGGAGAGATTGAGTGGTCCATGATGCTGGTGGGTAGAGTGGTATAGTTGGCCATTGGGTTTTTCTTCATTACATCAAAGGAGGTATGATGGATGATTTTATTTAGAACTTCCTCTGATATGTCTTTTTCAAGGAATTTTACTATCTTCTCAATTTCCCTCTTTGGGTCCTGTATGTGGAATAGTTATACAAAATAAATAAAATTGGTTTTCCATTGGAGATGCTGTTTAGTCAGTATAGACAATATTTGGGAAAGGATGTGTCAAGGTGCCAATTGAAATTTATCTTAAGTAGTTTTAGTGCAGGGCACTGACTGTCTCAGGTTCTGCTCCTGCCCTCTAGGAGTGTAACTTGTAGCAGGGGACAAATGTCTCTACAGACAGCACCTGGAACCTTGAAATAGGAACTGTGGTATATCCTGGGTGTCAAGGATTGTGTGACGATCATATAAAACAGAGGCCATGTTGGTTTGTGTGATTAGTTTTGGTCTATTGACTATAACAGTCAGAGAAAGGGAATTGTGAGTTATCAGAACTCTAATAAGGGAATGAACAAAGATTATCAATTTGACTCAGGAATGTGAACACTTTGCTGCTTGCCTCATTCTGATGAAAGCCAAGGAGCTAAGCTTCTGGTTAAATCACACTGGACTTTGGTATAGGAGTTGGATTTGTAACTTGAGCACACTGATCCACAGGATTTTGAGAGTAGACCTGTGGTCTACTCATTCACAGTGAAACAGAGAGAGGAGTCCATTCAATATCCCACTCTATGTATCTAATCCTGCTAGTGTTCACACGGACAAGACCTCAATTAATGATGGATGTCAGGGGTGTGGAAGAGGGAGAAGGGATCTAAACTTTTAAAATATAACTATGTGCACTCTACAATTATAACTGAATAAACCTACAGTCACTTTGTGAAACAACAAACCATTTTGTAGATAATGAAACATGGCTTAGGGGTGTCAGAATCTAATCCATTGATTTGACTATAAAACTTGTTCTGGTTTCTGAGGAGGAAAGATACAACTAGAGAATGTCTTCAAGGATCTCCTGCAGGCAAGCTCACATCCCAGGGTGTCACTGAGCTATCTGGATCTGAGGATGTGGGAAGACCCAGTGGAGGTCACACGGCCCTCACCTCTTTCATGTCTTCATAGAAGAGGTAGAGAATGCGGTGTTGGTCTTTCACATCCCACCATCCCTTTACATGGTCATACCAGGAGCCCCACAACACTGAGGAGGAAAAGAGGTGGAATATCACTGTCACCTTAGAACTCATCAAATGAGGATGGAAGCGCCAAATAAAAGAGAACAATTAATAAATACAAATGAAATGCAAAGATCCTAAATGGAATTCTTACCTGCAGAAGAGATTTTTTTAAACACACATACCCATACAAGAATTTCTTACCCCTCTCCCCCATGTCTTATTAGATGTGTTCCCCCTTCCATTCCCACTGAACTTTGTGTCTTTTTATTCCCATCAAGGCCAATTTGTACTACCCAAAATTTTTGGATGTGTTGTCTTCCACTGGAGAATGGTAGACTTCTCAGACACTATACTCTTAGAGACAACTGACCCTTACTCTTTCGCCAACAATCCCCAGTAGCTCATTTGTTAGGGGAAGAATTTTGTTTCCAACTCTTCTCTCTATGCTAGAATTTGGTATGGCTTGGGCTTTCATGGGGCTTGTGAATACTCTCACAATTGGGGTACATATGCAGCTCCTCTGCTTTGGCCAAAAGACACTGTTCCCTTGTACCATGCACTGCCTCTGGCTCTTAGATTTTGTGCCCCCTCTTGCTTTTGTAAGAGTATTGAGGAAAATGATAAAATACATTCTAAATTCCTTGTTTTTTACTCCCATCATTCAACTTTCTCTGCTATGAAGGGTGGAATTACAACTGAGTTCAAAACTTTTACTTTTTGTTACATTATCACATGGCACATAGATTAGTGTTAAGATGTATATGTGTGTGTATGTACACACACACACACAGACACACACACACACACACATATAAACTCATAGTATGGTTTTGAAAAGACTTGGGAAAATCTCTTACTACCAAGTATCTGGACAACTTTGCTCTGTGATGGTGAGTGATGAGAAGTATGCTAGCCATCTTTTGCTGGCTCTGCCTACCCTGCCCAGCAAGTGGAACTCAGCTTACATTTTGGAGACAGGAGGATGCTGCACTTGTTTCCTTAGTATACTTCCTGTTGCTTCACTGTGGTTTCCTGCTGCCACTGTCAAGGCTTTAAGTTCCCAGAAAGGGTCCCTCTGATAGCTCCAGGAGCTGGTGCACACCATAAACCTCTACTAGCCCTTGATGGCTTCCCCAACTTCTGCTCGCAACTGTCAATAGTCTTTGTCAAAATCTTCGGAGATGACCTAGTCAGAGTATATCATCTACTTCCTTGAATGACTTTAAGGGATGCAAATATCTACTGAAAATCCTGTCTGTTGTCAGCACATGGGTTAGGAAGTAGAAAGGCACAGTTTTCTTTCACTCACCGTTTCCAGCTTTGAATGTTTCAACATATTCTTCCCATGTCCCAGGGTCAGGCAGCATTCTATTCATTCTTGAGAAATGGTAGTAAGATACCAGGCAGTCCTTGGCATTTCTGGCCACATAGATAATCTAGGTTTTTTTTTTTTTTCAGCAAAGGGAGTGGGAGGCAGAGAGAAAACAAGACAGAAAATATCATCATTCAATATGGATACTTTTGTTCTTGGGAAGTATATTGCATATTGCATGCTAACTTATTGGAGGAACAGGGGAGTGCATGTGTTTTTATGATCAACATGACCACCTTTTCTAATATGTTCACAAACCATTCTGATTTATAGCTATAACATTAACATTATTTCTAAGTATATCCTTTTTGTCTTAAAAGTGTGGTTTGTGTGATAAATATTGCTGTTACCCTAAACTAACTTGGGGAATAAGGAGGATACCTGTGGTGCCTTGGTCCAGTCATAACAAATTTCTGCAGACTGGGTGCCTTATAAACAACAGAAACTAATTTCTCACAGTTTGGGAGTCTGAAGAATTGAAGATAGAGATGTCAGCAGATTTATTGGCTCACTTCCTCACAGAGGGCCATCTTTAATAAAGGTCTCAAGCCTGTTCATGAGGCCCCACTTTCATAACATGACCACTAAAGACCTACTTCTGAATCCCATCACTATGGGAGTTAAAATTTCAATATGTTAATTTGGAGAACAGAACATTCAGACCACAGAGCATGGTGGTTTTCACCATATAGAAGAAAGTCCTCCCTAGCTTTTGATGAGCGAAGAGTCTAAATGGGCTACAGGATGGGAGAAGCTAAGGCTATGAGCCAGTCAGTGTCTTCTCTATAAGATAATGCCAACCTCACAGATGAATTGTCTTCCCTGCTTTTCATCCTCTTGTGGCAGTATTAAGTCCCCCCACCTTGGAGAGATTTATGAGGGCATCTTTGTGTAAGGAAGATGATGGTATGATCTAACAAAGGAGAGGTGACCCCTTGTCTTGCTATCTGTCCCCTTCCTTTTCTTACCTCCTGGCTCCCATTCTAGCGTGTCGCTGTATATGTTTGCAGCAGTGATGGGGGAGGGGAGGATATTGCTATGGTTTGATGTGAATAGCATTCCCCAAATAGCCAGCTGTAGACCTGATCTCCAGGGTAGTGCTACAAGGAGGTACTGGAGACATTTCAGAGACAGGGCTTACAGAGAGGGCCTTAAGACACTGGGGGTACACCCTCCAAAGATATTGTGGATCTTTCCTTCCCTCTCCCTGTTTACTGCTCTCCCTAATTCCCTCCTTTCCACTCTCGCCATCTTTCATTTCTACTTTGAGATTCAACTTCTCACTTTGGACTCCATTCCCACCACGGCGTTGCTCTTACTAGAGGCTGAATCCAGAGCACTGCCCAACCTTGAACGTGAACCTCCAGAACCATGAACCAAAATAACCCTCTCCTCACATCACCAGTAGCTTGTGCCCCGTATTTTGCTATAAGTAGCACTGCAAAGCTTCTCGTCTGTTACAAGCATCTTAGTGTCTTCTCAAGCACTTACGTCTAGTGTCCCACTCGCTTGTGTTCCTTCCGGTGAATTACCTGAATGCGTGCTTTCCCAAATGCATTTCCTCCATTACTCTCAGTCCTGCATGACTGTCTCTCTGCTCCCTTCCTTGCCACTGGATTTCTCTCCAATGTTCATGAAAGTACTTAGGAACCCAAACAGTGTGAGGCAACTACAGTCTCATTATCATATATATATATATATATATATATATTACATATATATACATTATATATATATTACATATATATACATTATATATATAATGTATACACACACACACACACACACACACACACACACACACACACACACTACATCTCAGGGGCTCACGTCTGCCAAACAAGTGCTTCCTGATTTAATCTTCAGCCCTTATTTTGCATGCTCTATTCCTATATTGAGTATGATATTCAAGACTCAGGAGACTAGACACAAGAGAAGTCCCAGGCACAGGGAATATATGCAAGAGCACTTACAATAAGGAATCCAAAATCAAATATAATTTTTGAAGAGTCTGATAACTTGTATTAGTTTCTTGTTGGTGCTGTAAAAAAATTATCATACATATAGTGGCTGAAAAAGTTATATGCATTATCTTAGATTCCCGGAGGACATGTTTCATGGGACAAAGTGAAGTGGTCAGCAGGGTAGGTTCCTTTTGTTGACTCTAAATGAAAATTCATTTCCTCATTGCTTCCAGCATTAAAGATCACCTGTGTTTCTGAGCTGCTGACCCTTTCCTAGAATCACCCCTTCTTCGTTCTTCACTTGCTACATCTCCTATTTCTGCTGGCTTCTTTTACAAAGACCTCTGGTGAAATGTAGGCCCCAGATAATTTAGACTGCTCACTACATCTTAATCAGACCCGCAAGACCTATTTGGCAATAGTAACATTCCCAAATTCTACTGCCTAGGATACAGATTGTGAGTAGCCACACCGTTATGCCTACAATAACATCATAAAACGAAAAGCTTAGACAAAGGTCTCTGAAGTCGTTTACTGCTCATATCTGAGTGGATAATGAGAGGGGCTGCCATCCAGAAGCTTGCAGTATTTAGAAGACTGATTTTACAAAAAGGTGTTAGTGTTAATGATTAGGCAGGTGTCTGTGTCTCTTCTGACATTGGGTCTACAAGGTTTGGCAATAATATATTACAGTAGCACTGAAAACTGGCAATAATATATTACAGTAGCACTAAAAACCCATTAAGGGAGAGCTGTAGCTTTCTTGTATAAAGAGTGGACTCTACCCCTGGGTGGGAAACATGCCCTTGCTACCTCCTTTAAGAGTGAACCCAGGACTTAAGATTCACTTAAATCAACCAGGCAGTGGTGGTGCACATCTTTAATCCCAGCACTTGGGAGGCAGAGGCAGGCAAATCTCTGTGAGTTCAAGGCCAGCCTGGTCTTTTACAGAGCAAGTTCCAGGGCAGCTAGGGCTGTTACACAGAGAAACCCTGTCTCAAAAAAAAAAAAAAAAAAAAAAAAAAGAAAAAGAAAAAGAAAAAAAAAAGATTCACTTTTCTTTCCCAGAATTCCTGCCACAAAGAACAGTGAGTTTAGATCTACCGTGTGTCTCTGCTGGGCCTGTGTGTCCTTCTGAGTCAGGCGGTGACTTTTTCCCTTTTTCTCTCTTCTCTTTCTCTTTGGGATCCTGGCCAGAGCCCAAGTATGCCTCTCGGGTACCTTAGGCCTTTTCACTCTTTCTCTAATGTTCCCTTCGCCCCTGCCATGTGGC